CGCACAGCTATGTAGCCACTAGCGTCAGCGACGAATGACATGCAGAACACAGTGGGTGCCGACATCATGATAAGGAAAGCACAGCCGTAACGAGGTCCCAACAAGTCACATACAGCACCCATCACCAGCCTGGAGAAAATACTACCGGAAACGGAGGCAACCCCAGCGTTTCCGATGTCGGCTTTTGTGAGATTGAGGTTGTCCCGAATGATAGGAACCAGCGGAGCTGCGGCAAAGGTGGAGACGAAAGTGGTAAAGAAAGAGATCCAGGAAAGGTGGAAGGTTCTCATGTGAGGGTTTGCAAATGAGAAGAGCTTAAAGACTTTAGCCTTGTGTTCAGAGTCCACAGGGAGGTCGAATTTGGCGGTGGTATCAGTGGGCACCATGGGAGACGCCACAGAGAAGGCCAGCACTGGTTCCCGACCGGTGACTCCATGCATGGAGGTTCCCGGGGAACCTTCAATCTCCGGCATTGTCGTAACTTGATATAATTCTATAATTTCTCAGCACGTCCAGTAAGGAATTCTTTTCAATTTCCCTTTTTGTTGCTGATATGTTTTCTGGAGTGATGATGGATGTAAGGATTATATATATACATAAATAGTGGCTGGGAGACAAGTTACGAAAGAGGGAGTTATGACGTTAAATAATGCATGTACAGATGTCATCATTGGAATGAAGGGGGTGTTAAGGCGTTGACAAATGAGAAGGGTTAATTCAGATACCTGGTGGGGTTTCCGAAAAGGTTTGTGATTAGTTGGGTTTTAAGGAGTCCAGTTCGCCGCATCCGATGATTAAGGAACAGTCTTTAGGCTCATCGGATATCCCAAAAGCTGTATTACACTCATGACTTAGATACATTCATATGGTTCTCTAGCTCACCTTTACGACCATGAGCTCTTTGAACCATGGGCACGGTTATCTGCACCAAGAAGCTTGCAGTCTACGGTCGCAAATATACATAACGCAGTAAACTAACGACGTTAATTACTTCATGCTAAGTGCAACATCTATTTCCCTTGTTATTTGCAGATTTTGAAGAGTTAAAGACCAAGATTTATCTAAAGATAATCGACGATCAATGATAAGCCCGTTCCTGATATTTTCTAGGCCTTGGATGTGATGTGAAAAGGGGTCATTGCTAAATACGATATTTTTCAATGTATTGTATTTATCATGAGAAATAACATTGAATTCATATAAAACTGTTTTTTCGAATATTCCAACATGCAAAATCAATTAATAATTATTCCAACATGCAAAATCAATTAATAATTAATGACATCATTTGGAGTCACAATGTTAATTTTTCTGATTTCCATGTAACACTATGTAAATCAATGTAAGTAGGTTGGTTTTTCATGTCAACTCATGCTAATGTTTTTAACACAATTTTAAACTTTTATACTATATTGTCGAATTTGGGAAGAAGAGAAAAGAATGAGAAAGGAAAAGAAAAATAAAAGAAAGAAATAAAATAAAGTTTTTTATTTATGTTTTTGATAGAGAAGAGAGATGACCGAAAGATAATCAAATAAATAAATTTTAATTTAATTTCTTTCTTTTCTTTTCCCTAAAAATATCTTATTATTCTTGTAGAGACACAAGAGTATATAAGATTTATGCACTTAATATTAGATAATAAAATTAAGAAGAAAGGTGAAGATCCATTCCATGTGTTCAAAATTTATCGAAGCTTTGGATGGGGAACAAAAATCGTAAGTTCCATCTTAATTGAGATGGTCTTCCTCTCCTTATTCTATTTAGTCGTTCTGTCTGTTTGGGTTAGGTTTTTGCCTCGGTTTTGTTTGGGGCTCTTTCGGTTTTGTTTTGGTGGATTTTTGTATTTCTTGTGTCTAGCTTCTTGCTGGATCTGTTGTTTTACATATTGGTTGGCTTGGTGAGGTGATGATCATGTCGAAACTCTCTTCCTTATCCTTCCTTTTTGCCTTTCAAAAAAAAATATTAGATAATAAAATACAAATATAAAGAAAAAATTAGTAGTTTTGTTATTCTATATATATATATATATATATATATAGGTTGTATAGTTTCATATGGTTGGTAATTTTTTCAAAAGATAAAGGTTTTGTTAGCTAATAACAAGAAAATTTATTATATTCTAAGATAAAAATAGAATTCATGCGAGTACATAATAATCAAAAGAGTCGATTGGAGATGAATTATGTAGAATATATCAAAGTTTTCGAGGAAAATAATTTTAAACATCGGTATTAGATAAAAAAATTTAGAGAAACATTAAACAATTATATAATGAACGACAAATTAACCTTTTTATGTATTTTCTTCTCCAATATATTTTAGTTAATAAACGTTTGGCCCTTTAATAGTTAATGTAGTACCAAAATCTTTTCTGGTCCTATTAGATACTATTTTTTTTATGTCTTTTCTATTTACTAATCTTTTTGAATTACTATTATATATACTAAAAAAAAATTGGGCCCGTAACTTTTGTAGGCCTTGTGCGTAAGCCTGATCAGCCCTCCCCCAAGAACGGTCCTAACCAATGATCAATGATTCAATCATGAACCGACCATTACCTTCATAAAGACCCTTAAGTGATGAGTGTTGTAACCATCCTTCGCAACATCTATAAAAGGACCAAACGAATTCGAGCAACGGGCGTTTAGAGATCCAGTCATTGGAGCAATACTGAAGCTACGAAGAACAAGCTACTACTATAATCTCACAGAATCCACTATTGTTGTCTTACACGATTATCCACGACTGACTTGTTTATTCGTTATCAGATCACTGTAATCATTGTTACCAAGGACAATATCCTTGATTGGCGTCTATAGGTGCACTGACGATACTCTCTTAACATCTGCGGTTTTTTCCCTCGTTAAAGGATTTTCCTTGTCACCAATTCTCTCGTCTCTTTTATTTTATTATTTATCGTGTTTATTTTAAGGAATTCTATCTTTAATTGTAAAAACTCTATAAACCATCCTTAAATTATTTTCGGTGTAATTTTTAGCATAAACAACTTTCTTGTATAAATGATTAAGTTTTTGGATTGTTTTTAGTAAATAAATCATCGAACTTCTAAAATTGGTTACTTATATCTTTTTAATAAAAAAAAACCACCCCAAACCAGCTAGGAATGTTTTAAAGTGAAAAAAACGTAAATTAGTTTTACCGTTACCAAATCTTACGCCATTCAAACCCTTCATCACCCTCGTCGCATCATCGTTGCTCGCTCTCTATCACCATCCATCAATGCCATCAATTTCCCCCAGTTTGATTTTTTTTTGTTAACATGGAAAAGTCGAAGAATCTAAAGACAAAACAAACACATGGCTTTTTGATTTACGTAAAATTGATCTACGTACATGTTTTACTTTAAAAAGATGTACGTAACCAATTTTTAGAAATTCAACGATATATTTATTAAAAAATGTTAAGAGGTTTAATCATTTAATATGAAAAAGTTCAATACCTTTTTTCATTCAAAAATATTTTGAGGGACTTAATCATTTAAACCGGAAAAGTTCGTTGGATTTCTCTAAACTTTTTCAATTAAACATTTATTTGTAATATAGAATTTGCTTAGACTCGTTCGGCTAATTTGTGATTTATATAACATCGATTTCAAACTGTTAATATGAAATTTGTATTTTTTAAACAACAAACATGATATTTAAATAAATGTGAAATCAAATATATATTCCAAGATTTGAAATTTAATGAAGTATTAAATATAACTCAATTGAAAAAATACTATTAGACCACCGGTTAATTAAGCTCGTTTCGTTGGTATGTTTTTGAAGGCTGTCACGATCTATAATGTGACAGTGTTGGGCTTATCAAAGGTTTACTTTCCTTGATTAATTAACGTAACACCCATTCTGGTTAATTAATAACTCATGTTCAATAAGTTGATTGATAATCACAAGGGTGGTGCCTGATTGGTTTGAGCTTGGCTCCAAAGGTCAAAAGTAACAAGAGGTCTTAGGTTCAAATCCAATGAGAAATAAAAATCCTCTTGTGGCCACGGAGGTTCAAATGTGGTGACTCCGGTCTATCAGCAAAGCAGGTGATCGTCCTGGGATTAGTCAGCTCACATAACGGGTTGGATATCCAGGTTAATAAAAAAAAGTTGTTTGATGAAATTAAATAGGATCTTACAACTTTTAACTTTTAATACCATCTTCGACCACACATTAAAAACATAAAAGAAAAAAATTGTTCATCTTCAACCAACGCTTAAAAAGTAAAGGTAAAAAATGTTGGCCGATATCTATTATAAGATATTTAATATTTTATTTAACTTGTATAATTATATATATAATGAGGTCTTTTTCTAAGAACCCATGAAATTGTAATTAACTTGAGAAATGGTGCACTCTGTGATATTTTATGTGATTTTTTTTTCAATCTATGACTTGGATATAATGTATTGGTTAACACATATTTATTTCACAATGTGAACATTTTTTATCTGATTGTGAAACAAATATATGTTAACCAATACTATGAGTGTGCAAAAAATAATTAGCAAATAAAAAACTAATAATTAACAAATAACAATGAATACAGATATATAAAATAATACAACCCGAAAACGAAAGTTGAGAAAAAAATTTAAAATAACGGTTTATCAAATAGTAGCATTTGTAACAAACAAAATCAGATAAATCAAATGATTTTAAATGGGCCGAGGCTCGAAATCTGCCCCTCGCATGGTAAAATTCCATGAACGCCATCCATAGTTGTTTTCATGAAATTCTCCATGGAACGATGAGGTTTGCAAGATAATTATATGTTCGGAATCCTTTGAAATAATCACTGAGATTATGTCAAATCATCAAAGTTGTTTGAGAGAAATATTTATTGTATGCTTTGTTTTAATATATTTTTAGTCATGTAAAAATCTTTGACAGTTTTAAACGTTTTTTCATCATTGAAGGGTCCAATGGGTGCACTAGACGGGACTAGGGCTGTAAATGAACTGAATGAATACGGATGGAGGCTTGTTCGTGTTCGTTCACTAAGATACTAAATGAACGTAAACGAACGAACATAAATAAAAAGAATATAAATAAAGGACATGAACGAACACTGCTACTTGTCATTTTGTTAACTATTTCACAACCTTCACGATTTCCAGGAGCCTTGTTGAGCATTTAGGGTTTTACTTTTACACTTTTACTTTTTAGGGTAAAGTAAAAGAGAGAAACCTAAAAAGAAGTGTTTTAAGTATGGGTAAAAAGATTATATTTAGGTGAATTCAAACCCAAATAAATTTAGTTAAAACCCAAGATTATATTTAATTAAAAGTTAAAAAGCTTAAGTAAATTTAGGTGAATTCGAAACCAAATAAATACAAGAATATATTTATATATTAATGCCATAAACGAATATAAATGAACAAATATTCACGAACATAAATGGACGAACGAGACATTTGTTCATATTCTTTTGTTTAACTAAACAAACAAAAACACTT